AAGAAAGAAAGAAAGAAAGAAAGATTGGACGGAGCGACGACGTTTCACCTGGACTCGGCTTCGGAGATGGCAATCATTTTCGGTTGCTGCCTGTGCCTGGAAGCCAGCCAACTGAACATGTCGTGAACTTTCCTCTCCCTGAAGGGTTCCGCGCGGGCAGCGCCGTTCACGCTTGCCCTCAGCAAGTCGCTCTCCACTTCCCCCGGCTTCGGCGGTGTCAAGTCGTGGAACCGTGGTTTGTACTTGGTGCATCTGTTCACGTCCGGTAGCTGCTCGACCAAGTAGACGGTGGCGTTGTTCTCCAGGCCCAGGTTCTCGGTGAGAGGATTGTGGGGCAGCGGGGGCAAGTTGTGAGCCCTTCGAGCGTTCTGCACCGCTTGGAACACCGTTTCCCACACCTCGGCCATCGACGAGGCGGTGTGAGTGAAACCGTCCTGCGACTTGATCTCGTACATCAGCGTCGGCCCTTTCGCGCCGTTCTTTTGCGTTTGCTGCGACCCCACTGCGTTCAGCAAACTGCCCTGTTGTTGTTGCTGCTGCTGTTGCTGCAAGGGTTTCATCGACTTGCTCACCACTCGTGGCTTCTTCACGGCGATCGGCGGTGTCTTGCTCTTCAGCAAGTTAAACTTGTTGTTGCTGTCGACGGCAGCAGAAGAAGGCTGCTTCATCTTCTCCTCGATCTTGTTCGTCTTCAACGTGAACGTCTTGATCGGCAACAGCTGCAACGAGGCGATCTGCGGCACCTGTTTCGACGGCAGTATCTCGACGGATGTCACCTGCGGCTGTTTCTTGCTCTGCGTCATCGCCTTCATGTTGTGCGTGATCTTGTACGAACCGTCCTGCAGCTGCTTCTGCAGCACGATCTTCAGCGAGGCGTTCTGCAGCTTCTCCTTGTTCAGCTCCAGCTGCTTCAGATTCTCCTTCAACGAGAGTTTCTTCTCGCCGTTCAGCTTCACGTTCAGCGTCTCGTTTATGGCGGTGGTGGTCTCCTTCTTCATGGTCGACGCCAAAGCTTCCACCGCCGCGACCGCAGCCGCTTGCTGCTTCTTCTCGGACTCGGGCTCTGACTCGGACTCGGTCGCGAGCTTCTGCTCCGGCTCTGCCGGCTTGATCACCGGCTTCGTCGGCTCCTCCATCATCATCATCATCTCCGTCTTTTGCATGCTCTTGGCCGTGTCCTGCTTCGGCGTCACCGCCTGCATCGGCAGCACTCTGTTCATCGGCCGGCTGGTCGGCACGTTGCTCGTCGACATCGTGATCTTGC